GGGTCCCTGCTGACAGCCCTGGGCTCTGTCAGTGCATCCACAGGGACCTGGCAGCCAGGAACGTCCTGGTGACCGAGGACAATGTGATGAAGATCGCTGACTTTGGGCTGGCCCGGGATATCCACCACATCGATTACTACAAGAAGACGACGAACGTGAGTGGTGTGCAGGGATTTTGTGGGGTGGGGGTGCCAGGGGTGCTCCAGGGGCTGCCAGGGGTGCTCCAGGGTGCCAGGGGTGCTCCAGCCATGCTGGGGATGCTGCAGGGTGCAGGGTCTGTCCCCACCCCGGGTGACACCGAATCCATGTGGGGTTTTGTGTCCCAGGGTCGCCTGCCCGTGAAGTGGATGGCTCCCGAGGCTCTGTTCGACCGAATCTACACCCACCAGAGTGATGTGTGAGTAACACCCACTGGGGAGGTCCTGATTTCATGGAATTACAGCCGCTGTCAGCCAAACAAATATTTCAAATCCGAATTGTGTTTGGTGCTGGGACTCATTCATCCTGCAAAGTGATAAAAAGCTGTGGATGGCTGCTCTGCCAGCAATGCCTCAGCATCTGCCCTCTGTTGCCAGGTGGTCCTTTGGGGTGCTGCTGTGGGAGATCTTCACGCTGGGAGGGTCCCCCTACCCCGGTGTGCCTGTGGAGGAGCTCTTCAAGCTGCTGAAGGAAGGCCACAGGATGGACAAGCCCAGCAACTGCACCAACGAGCTGTGAGTGCCGTGCCAGGACAGGGAACGGGGATTTGAGGTCTCTGAGTGCCATTGCCTGGCCCAGAGCAGGGGCTGGGGTGTGGAGGGTGACAGGGAGGCGTTTGGGAGTTCAACCCCAGCAGTTCCCAGCCCCCAAAACCATCAGCCCATTAAATCTGCAATCATCAGCATCTCCCTGTGTTACCCCTGCCAGAAGGGAATCCCAGGGTGGCTCCAGCACAGGGACCAGCCCAGACTGTGCCCATCCTCTTGGGTTCCCTAAATCCCTGCAGCAGCCTCTTCCCTGGCCCTGGGTGCCAGTCTGAGCCCAGGACACGTTCCTGGGGCTGCTGTGGGTGGGGGTCCCAGGCTGAGCCCCCTGTCCTCACAGGTACATGATGATGAGGGATTGCTGGCACGCCGTCCCCTCRCAGAGACCAACCTTCAAGCAGCTGGTGGAGGACCTGGACAGGATCGTGGCCATGACCTCCAAYCAGGTAGGACAGTGGCACCGGTGGCACCGGGCTGGCACTCCCTGGGGCTGTCCTGTCCCCTCCTGAGCCCGTCCTTTGTCCCTTGTCCCTGGCAGGAGTACCTGGACCTGTCGGTGCCTCTGGATCAGTACTCGCCCGCCTTCCCGGCCACGCGCAGCTCCACCTGCTCCTCGGGGGAGGACTCGGTGTTCGCCCACGACCCCCTCCCCGACGAGCCGTGCCTTCCCAAACTGCCCCCGCAGCACAGCAACGGCGGGCTGAAACGGCACTGAGTGGCACTGCTGGCTGCCACCGTGTGCCAGCAGGGTGACACTGCTGGGTGCCACCGTGCGGTGACACTGCTGGGTGCCACCATGTGCCATCAGGGTGCCACGGTGTGCCATCAGGGTGACACTGCCTGTGCCGTGCTGTGCCACACTGTGCCATGTGAGTGGACACTGCCCAAGGTGCCACACTGTGCCATGTGAGTGGACACTGCCCAAGGTGCCATGTCACACCGTGCCATGTGAGTGGACACTGCCCAAGGTGCCATGTCACACCGTGCCATGTGAGTGGACACTGCCCAGGGTGCCATGTCACACTGTGCCATGTGAGTGGACACTGCCCAAGGTGCCATGTCACACCGTGCCATGTGAGTGGACACTGCCCAGGGTGCCATGTCACACTGTGCCATGTGAGTGGACACTGCCCAAGGTGCCATGTCACACCGTGCCATGTGAGTGGACACTGCCCAGGGTGCCATGTCACACTGTGCCATGTGAGTGGACACTGCCCAAGGTGCCATGTCACACCGTGCCATGTGAGTGGACACTGCCCAGGGTGTCACACCGTGCCATGTGAGTGGACACTGCCCAGGGTGCCATGCCATGCTGTGTCACACTGTGCCATGTGAGTGGACACTGCCCAAGGTGCCATGTCACACCGTGCCATGTGAGTGGACACTGCCCAAGGTGCCATGTCACACCGTGCCATGTGAGTGGACACTGCCCAGGGTGTCACACCGTGCCATGTGAGTGGACACTGCCCAGGGTGCCATGCCATGCTGTGTCACACTGTGCCATGTGAGTGGACACTGCCCAAGGTGCCACACCGTGCCATGTGAGTGGACACTGCCTGCACAGCGTGGTGGTGCTGAGCTGTTGCAGAAAGGGTTCAGAGGCACCCACAGCATCTCACATAACCAAAACCACCCACCTCCTGCCAGCTTCTCCTGCCACCTCGTGCCAGCTCTCCGCAGCCCAAAGGGTTCAGCTCCGGTGTTTTTATGGCGTCTCCTCCGTTGGTTTTTRAATCTCTTTTCCATGAATTCTGTGCTTGAGTGTTCCCACTTGGCTGAGCTGCAATCCTGTCCCGTGGGCAGGGCAGGGCCAGGAGCCAGCCTGGCATCCCGGGCTGGCACAGAGAGCCATTCTGCCATCTGGAGAATGTGCCAAGGCAGGAGCAGCCCTGGGCTCCTGCAGCTGCTGCCTCGGGGCTCCCTCGGTGCCCGGGATGATCCGGGGCTGCTCCTGCAGCTGAGAGGAGCCAAACCCACCCGTGCTAAACCCAGAGTCCCGTGTACATAACAAAAAAATATGTATAAATATGAATATATATTTACATGGCTTTTTAAAAGGGTTGTTACCAGAGATATACCAGTTTGGTAGGAAGGTACTAGTGGCTGGTAGATATCAGTTGCTATAAAAAAGAATTCATATATTTTGCTACTTTTGCTGTTTTTATTTTTTTAAATTATGTTCTAAACCTATTTCAGTTTAGGTCCTTCGATAAGAATTGCTGCTGCTGCTTCAGTTTTATATGGGGTTGTATTAAACAATAATAATAATGTGTCGATGCCTTTTGGGAATCCATTGTCATTACGTGCCTGGCTTTACCCCGGCCCCACGTTCCTCCCGTTCCCTCCCGGGGCTCTGGCGGGGCTGGGACCGGGGCGGGGATGGGGCTGGGCAGGGATGGGGCCGGGCAGGGATGGGGCCGGTGGGTGCTGCCCTTGGGGAGGAGCAGGGGGAGAACGGGTCAGCCCTGGCCCGGAGCGGTGCCTTGGTCCCGGCCCGGTTTGGCTCCAGCCCGGTTCGGCTCCGTCCCAGCCCATCCCGGCTCGGTCCCAGCCCGGCTCAGTCTCAGCCCGGTTCGGTCCCATCCCGGCTCGGTCCCAGCCCGGCTCTGTCCCAGCCCGGCTCTGTCCCAGCCCGGCTCTGTCCCAGCCCGGCTCAGTCTCAGCCCGGTTCGGTCCCATCCCGGTTCATCCCATCCCGGTTCGGCTCCAGCCCGGTTCTGTCCCATTTCGGCTCTGTCCCATCCCGGCTCGGTCTCAGCCCGGCTCTGTCCAGCCCGGCTCAGTCCCAGCCCGGTTCGGTCCCATCCCATCCCATCCCATCCCATCCCGGTTCGGTCCCATCCCGGTTCATCCCATCCCGGTTCGGCTCCAGCCTGGTTCTGTCCAATTTCGGCTCTGTCCCATCCCGGTTCAGTCCCAGCCCATCCCGGTTCTGTCCCATCCCGGTTCTGTCCCATCCCGGTTCGGTCCCATCCCGGCTCGGTCCCATTTCGGTTCAGTCCCAGCCCATCCCGGCTCAGTCCCATCCCGGTTCGGTCCCGGTTCGGTCCCATCCCCGCCGTTCTCTCCGTGCCGCCCCCGCTCCCCGGGCGATGCCCTGCAGTGCCTTTACCGGGAGCAGCCTCACCCCGCTCTGCCCATCCCCGGGGCTGTCCCGGTGCCCGAGCTGGGCTCCACCGAGCCGGTCCCGGGACAAACCGGGCATTTCCCGGGCATTTCCCGGGCCGGGACAGCCTCCCCGGGGCAGGGRCTGTGTGTGATTCTCCCTCCCTGCCGCCGCTGTCGAGATGCTGGAGCCAGACCGCTGTTACTTGAAAAGTTTATTTTGCCTTTGTATGGAGAAATATTATTTGTTGTAAACTCTTCTGTAATGAATCTGGAATTCTTGTAATTATTAAAGACTTTAACCGCGATTTGSCCGTCCCTGGGGGCGATGGGGTGGGGACTGTCCGGGCTTTGGGTGCTCATCCGAGCAGCGGTTTGGGAATGTGATGCTCAGGGAGCAGCCGGGATAAACCCTGGCTCTGTGAGAATTCTGTTTTTCAGCGCTCCAGCACTCCCCATGAGAATATCCTGGCATCCTGCACGGCTCCCTGTGCCTGGGAGGGGAGGGAGAGCGGCTGCAGCCCCTCCTGAGCCCTTCCATGGTTAAACTGAGGCGGCAGAAGCAGCTGCAGCATCCCCGGCCTCCCCGGCCTTTTTAAATGCGTCTGCTTGTTGCTATTTCCCCGTGTAAATTAAATCGATCAGCTGCACTCTGCCCACCTCCCCCCTTTAAATTAAGTAGAGCTTTTAATCAAGTGATTTATGTTGAATTTGCAGCCCTGGATTAAACTCGCAGCCCAGGCGGGGGGAGGAAGGCTGGGGGGCTCCATAAATCACTGCTCTCTCCGGGCCCGGCTTGGCGAGGTGCGGGGAGAGCTGCACTTGGTGTTTACATCATCCCGAACTGCTGCTCTCACCATCTCCTGCTCATTTCCTGGGGTTACCGGCAGGGCAATTAAATATGATAATGAGCAGAGATGCTGCAGCAGAGCTGCTGGTGCTCAGTGCTGGGCTGGGGAAGGGGCTGGGTGCCCCTGCACCCCACAGGGACATGGGGACACTGGGCTGGGGAAGGGGCTGGGTGCCCCTGCACCCCACAGGGACACGGGGACAGTGCCAGGGAGGGTCCCCAGGGTGCTGTGCTGGCTGGCACCCACAGGAAAACTCATCTGTGCTCTGCTCCTCCCGGTAAGGGATCCTGTCCATGTGGGCACTCTGGGAGGTGTGGGCATCCCCCAAAGCTGAAATCAGCACCCCACAGGCCCCACACAGCCGGGGGAACCCTGCAGGACCAAAGCTCCCCTTGCTGGGACCGTGCTGGGTCCGTGCTGGGACCGTGCTGGGACCGTGCTGGGTCCGTGCTGGGACCGAGCTGGGACCGTGCTGGGACCAGCCTGCAGCGCTGCCTGGCACCAGGCTCTCCATTCGGGATGGGGATGGGGCTCCTTGGGAAGGGCTCCAAAGCGATGGAGGATCCCCAAATGCTGCCCTCGGGAGCCCCTGAGCAGCCATGGAGTGCGGGGCATCAGCGCTCAGCCCACGCCACCTTTGGCTCCTGCAGCACCCTTTGTCGTCTCCGTTCCTCGCTCCATCCTTTTCTCCTTTTAAAGCCCTCGGGCTGTTCGGGCCGGGGACAATGTGACAATCTCTTGGCCCCAGCCCAGGGCTCGGCTGCTGTGCCAGCGCTGAGCTGGGCTTTGTCCCGCTGCCAGCCATGGCAGAAACCTGCTGTGCCCTTCCACCTTGGCACGGGTCCCATGGCTCAGAGGGTGTGTGGGGAGCTCCCAGCCCCCTCTGTCCCCCCGTGTCACCCAGATTTGGGCTCGGCAGCACCCAGAGCTCAGCTCCAGCCCCACACCCACAGCTGAGCAGAGGCAGAGCCAGCTGTGTGCAGCTGGAACACAAAACACAAAACCCAAACCCTGCTGTCCTGGGCACTGCACCGTGCGGGCACCGTGAGGAGCAGCGGGATGGGACCATCCCTGGGGACACCTTGGGSACTGGACCATCCCTGGGGACACCTTGGGGACACTGCCACCCGCACCCCGTCCCTCTCCGTGCGAGGTTTGGCAGTGGAGCTCCTGTCCTGCGTTACTTCGGGCTGCGATTGCGCTCCATCTCCTTTGTTACCGTTTATAGCAGAGGCAGAARGGCTGCAGGAATGTGGCGCTGGGAGCCGGGAGCTGTAAATCCCAGCCTTTGTTGTGCTTGGGCCGCACTAAATCACTGCTTTTCGCTCKGAATGCTAATCTCCTCCAAAAGTGCTGACCAGGGCATCTTTCCCCGCAGCTTTCAGGGGAAGAGGCTGACGCAAACCCGGGGTTGTTTCTGGCACGGGAGATGTTCCCGAGCGGCAGAAATCCCCGATTCCCGGGTAAAGGGCAGCCCAAACCCCGGGATGGGAATGCCTCGGCCCCACAAGAGCGCTCCAGGCTGGAGCTGCGATGGTGCCGGGGGAGGATAAACAGCAGAGGAGCCGCTTCTCCGGGCTCAGGGGGGACTGTTTGGCACCGGCGGGGCTGGAAAAGCTCTCCCCACGCCAAAGCACACACGGCCTTGGATCTCTGCAGYGTTTCATTTGCCCAGTGCTGCAGAACAGAATCCCGGCATTTATGGGGCTCCACGGGGGTCGTTTCCTCCCCTCGCTCGGAAGGTCATGAAGCAGAATTGCTGCCTCTCCCCTCTGTGTGCCCGTGGGGCACGGGGGTCTCAGGAAGGTGGCGGGGGTCTCAGGAAGGTGGCGGCGGTCTCGGGAGGATGGCGGGGGTCTCAGGAAGGTGGCGGGGTCTCGGGAAGGTGGCGGGGTCTCAGGAAGGTGGCGGGGGTCCCGGGAAGGTGGCGGGGTCTCAGGAAGGTGGCGGGGGTCCCGGGAAGGTGGCGGGGTCTCAGGAAGGTGGCGGGGGTCCCGGGAAGGTGGCGGGGTCCCAGGCAGAGCTGAGTCTCGGCCATGTCCTCGTACAGAGCCCTGCAGCAGCAGTGACCTGTGAGGAGGGGGGAGGAGGGGAATTTTGGCCTGARAATGGGTTTGTTCAGAGCTGTGTGAGTGACCCGGGACTGTCTCGGGTTCACCCCGCTCTGCTGCTCCAGTGCTCCCCGGGACGGATGGAGCCTTTGCCACCGCCGGGGCTCGCTCGAGGAGGGGGCTGGTGGCCACTGCGGGAAATCCAAGGAAAAGCGAGCCCCAGCTTCCAGATCTTTCTAAATTGAAAACACAGGAGGCAGCGGACAGGRCTGGAGCCCTGGCAGCCGGCAGTGTGACGTGGCCATGGTGAGCAGGGCTGGGGGACAGGGATGAGGGAGGCACCGGAGCCACCCAGAATGGGCACAAAGGGCGTGCCCGGGTGATGCCCAGCTCCCTGCCAGCCCCTCCTCACCTCCATCTGTGGAAGTGCTCAGCACAGGAATGTCGGGTTCGGGATATTCGGGAGTCAGAGCAGTCACAGGCTGCAACACCGAGTGGGAGGAGACGCCTCCCCTCACACCACGCTAAGAGGCAGCAGTGACTCCACAGTGAGGTGTTATTTTATTGAAATAAAATTTGTTCCCGTTTATTAAACACAGATCCAGCAGTGCAGATGGATGAACACAGAGAGGTTCAGGTACAGAGCTGAGGACACAGAACACCTGACAGCTGGCTCTGCAYTGCTGTAGGAGCCTGAGGTCTCAGGTTTAAAGTGCTGCTCACACCTGACCTTGGAGAATTGGCTTTTCAGGCGGGTTGTCTGACCTCTAGAAGAGACATTTCATTCCTACTTAGCACCAAATCTAATTTTACAGTAAGTATAAATACACGTATTTAAAATCCATGTGAGAAATTTCTGAGCATTTACATAGGACAGAGTAAAAAACTTAACAAATGCTAAAAACAGCTTTTCTGTATCCTCTGAGAGTCTGACAAAAAACTGAGTCATCACTGGAGTGTGTGAGGAGTCGCTTTGCAATGTATGGAGAGCACTTGGTGTGTAGTTCTGAGCTTGGTAAAGATTAACCAAATCTTCACACTTGGGAAAGGTGTGCAGGTCCTGGGTTGGTCCCTCGTCCCAGAGGGATCCTGAAAGTGCAAATCTGATTTGTGTCACAGTGGGTAGCACCTGCACAGCTCTCATGGGAAGCAATYACAGGRGGAGGCTGTTCTGTCACTGCTCTGCTSCTGCCCAGCAAGGTCTGAAATCCTTCTGATCAATTCATTCCACCACAGCAAMRAGTGCTGCTCCCTCCTTCCCTGTGGGTAAAACTGTGGCCAGTGGGTCACTGTCATTGTGGGCTGTCACTGTTAAACCACCCTGATCAGGACCAAGAGCCTGAGCTGTGACACTCATCCCTGTGTGGGGATGTTCCTGCAGAGGATTCCCACCACAGAACAGGCTTTGCTGGACTCCCAGCCCAGTCTGCTCTGAGCACAGGCCATTCTGACAAGAAAAGCTGCCTTTGCTAAGGTTTGGGAGCACAAACACCTGCTGAGAACAGCACAGACAGCAGCACCGTTATTAACATATTTACACCATAAGTTAAAAGTAGCAGGGCAAGGATCCAGCACAAACAGAAGCTGGGCCACCCAGCCAGCACTGGCCTAGTTGCTAACAAGCTTGGGACAGAGAGAGGCCCCTGAGGGCTACGGCCTGGTTGTGTAGAGCAAACTCCTGGAAATCCCTGCTCCTTTGCAGGAGGGTGCAGATGGAGCTGCTCCCTCTCAGGGCTGGTTCCACCTTAGGCTCCGTTGGCACCAGCCTTGCTGCTCTGGGACGCTTCCCTTTTGGTCTAGGGGGAAGAGAAAAGGGCAGATTTTAGCAAAAAATGTTTGTTGAAAATCAAAGTCTTTTCTGAAGGTGTCTTCCCATTTACCATGGCAAGGGGCTCTGGAAAGGAACAGATGAAGAGCAAATTCTTCAGGTTAAAGGAGATAGGAGTCGGTCTGGACTCCCAAACTTACCTTAAGCARCATCCCAGATGTGCACATAACCTTCTAAATTGAAATCAAATATGCACAGAAAGAAAATGGGCAAAACAAAGACAATCACTGCAGAAATATTGTTACAGATACGAAGCAGCTCTTAACAGCCTGGTGATTCCAAGGGCAGGCTGGTCTGTCCTAGTGGCCCAAAGCAGATTATTAAGAGTACAAGGAAATGCTGGCAATTCCCCCAGTGCTTTGCTCCCTCCCCCATTTCACAGCTCTGCCACGTGTGGTGTTTTTGTGTTGAAAAGCCCCCAGTGCAGTTCTCATCCAGTTTCTCCAGCTGCTCCTTGAACTCAGTGTCCTGCAGCACAAACCTCCAGAGTTTGGCTGCAAGCTGAGTCAAGAACAATCTCTTTTGGGAAGTGTAAGAACTCTGAGTAGCTCACCTCTTGTGGGGGAGGCTTCACCGACGCTTCTGAGAACGGCAATTTCTCTGTTGGCTGAGACACAAATTCTTCATTCTTTAAGGAAAAAGCAGCTGTAAGACACAGATCCCTCCAAAAGAGCTAAACCCCACAGCCCCTTCTCCCTTCTGAGTAAGGCTGTTCCCTGCCCATTCTGTAAAAGCTGGGCCGGCATTTCCATTGTTTCCCCAGCACAATTTAACTGTGTGGAAACGTTTCTGGCATTTGATACAATATTCTTTGATTCCTGCTGCTGCTTTTATCAGCTGGGACTAATCTAAGGAATTCACTGCAGCATGATGCTGAGAACCATATGCTCTGGCTTTTTTTACTCCAGATACTTTGGCTCATTTTRTTCTGGACAACTGAGCCCAATTTCAGTAGGAGAGCTTAAACCAAGTCCTCTTTAACTGCTGCTCTGWGCTAAATGTAGCTGGGCAGAAGTCTAAGGCAACTCAGAAGGTCAGGAGTCCTTCTTGGCTGGGAGCCAGTGCCATGGTACTGAATAACCAGCTGCTCCCAGTAACAGGGCCAGCTGAACCCCAGCAGATCCCTTCCCTCACCTCTTAAATCAGAACATGAACTGTGAGGCTCTTGGGGGAAACATTTACACAGTGCAAAACCAGACACTGCTCGTGCTCTGTGCCATTGGCTTTGCCTAGCTTTGGGAAGGTTTGGTCACACYCAATTCTCAGTGATTTCAGAACATGTTTTCCTGCTTGCAGACTKCTTTTCTCACCTTTTTTCCCTGTACAACAGGGGCAGGGTCCAGGAGGGTCTCCTGACCTTCAAGCACAGATGTCCTCACTCCAGCAGCTTCACCAGTCTGCAGAACACAGAGTCATAACTTCATCCCAGTCRTAGGATCAAAGAACAAGATTTCTGTCACAGTCCTTAATTTCTATAAYATATAATGGTTCAACTATTAACCTACAAGTTTTATTTGAACAACTCACCTTGTTCTGTGTAATGGGAACAGATTGTGGCTTTACATCTATTAAGTACAAGGCACGGGAAAGCAGGAGGAGAGAAGGGGGAACGTTCTCCTTTAAATGGAGATCCAGCCACTGTTGGAAAAAAAGAGAAGGCAAAGTTATTTCACACTGGCTCTATATGGGTATTTATCAATACAACACTCTTGATCCTTAAAGCAATCTTGAGTTTGGATAATACAGTTTTAAGATACCATAATGAGAARAAATAGTTCTGAAGAGTTARGAACARCCCCCACTTCACCTTGYTTCTTGTTGGCCTTAGYTCTACTTGGTTTTCTCTTTAGTCTAGGATATAAACTGGACACTTCATGCCTCAGAGCTCAGCTCTGCAGGTGAGGATCCAGCTTGAACTCGTGCAGGAATTGTCAGGAGGCTGTGCCTGCTGTACCTGAGCAGTGCCTGCAATCCCCTCTGAGAATCCTGGCCCCACCAGCCCCGTYCAGGGCACACTCACCTGCCCGAGCTGCTCCTTCAGCTGCTCCTCAGAGAGCCCCAGTGAGCGCATCCCCCGGGCCCTGCAGGCRCTCTGCAGCTCCAGCACGCTCAGGCCACAGACCCCTTCCTTGGCAATCATCTGCAATCAACAGCAACGTGCCCACCCAGCACAGAGTTAGCCAAAACCCTGAGAGTCCCTGCTCCCAATCTCCTGATTAAACTGCTTAAATTAGCATTTCCATTTGTGCTTTGAGCCTTTAGGGATGGGGATTCCACAGCCCCTCCCCTGTGGACACAGAGCTCACACAGACCCTGTGAGCACCGAGCAGCTCCCAGAGCTGCCCCAGCCTCACCTCATCATCTGCCTTGATGCTCCTGAGGCGCAGCAGCAGCTGGAATCGGAGCAGGTTGTTGGTGCCCAGCGGGGGCAGCTCCAGCAGTYTGCACAGAGCCACCAGCTGGGGCCTCTCCAGGTGCTCCAGGGTCAGCTCATCCTCGAAGAGTTTGGAGAARCGCACGATCTCCTGCGTGCTGGGCCGGTGGCCGCTGTGACGGATCTGAACAAGGGAGAAATGCAACCTGAATGGGATCACCAGGAGGGAATCTCCTCCTCCCTTCCCTTTCTCTCACTGGAATTCCCATCTCTGTTGGGAACAGGATGATACAGTTAAAACTCAAAGTGAAACTCTTACTGAGTGGCCACTGGAAGAGTGAAGCTGGCACTGTTCCAGGATGGGAATTCCTGTGCAGGGAGGCACACAGGGAACAGCACCTGACAGAATCTGTGTGCTGTCAAAGCTCTCTGCTGTCCCGGGACAATGCCACACTCTGCCCAAAGCAGCACCAAAGGGGTGGCAGTGCCATGGCTGCCCATCCTACCTCGTGCAGGTACGAGGAGAATTGTTTCCCTTGGCCTGTGTCTGCCTTGTTCCTTTTGGCCATCTCTGCAATTGTCTCCCGCAGGAACTTTGCTAACTCCAGCTTTGCGTTTAACTTCTTCTTCTGCTTTTCTTCCTTCGTTTGGGAAATACAGAATTATTAATTAGAAAATATAATGTAGGAATYTGATCACTGTCCAYAGCACAAACCACCAACCCTCCCCCTCAGCTCAGGAATAAKCTGGGAATGTCTCACACAGATGTGGGTGAGGCTGATCCTCACTTSCACAGCTCTGAGGACACTCCACGACCTCAGGGAGGACACAAACCTTCTTTGACTCCGTCTCAAAGGTTGAGGGCAGCATTGCAGGGAAGAGCTTCAGGAACACAGGTAACAGGAATTCCATGAAGGGGACAATGACAAACACCAGGAAGGGAACCAGCCGGAAGAGATCTGCACAAGTTCTCAGCAACTGTACAGAGAAGAGCAGAGATCACCCAGAGATTATCACTCAGCCAAACACCCAAAATGTGTCCAAAGAAGGGGTTAAGCCTCTCTCTGCATCACTTTATGCAGGGGTTGTGACACTCACCCTTCTCCTCTCCCTCCTGGTGAGCACCTGCCCGTGGAGCAGCCTCCACACCATCCTGACAGCCACCGTGGTGTCAATCCACAGCAAGTGGAACCCGTGGTAGTAATGCTTCAGCTCATCCACAACTCTYTGTCTCAAAGGCTTTTTCCCTGCAGGAGCCTGTATGACGTGTTTCACTGGAGTTTTAGCAGGTTTAGCCCCCTGGTTCCCAGGATTTCGGCGGGGTGGGGATTCACCGGGGAGCTGCTGCCAGGGGCTGCTGGAGGTGTGCAGGGCACGTGAGCCAGGCAGGGCAGCGCCCAGGCGGGCACGGAGGCGCCAGGGATGGCTTTTGGAGTCTCTCGAWGTCCAGCTTAGCTGGGAATTCACCAGTTGGACCAGAGCGATGGCCGGAGAGCACGGAGGGCTGGAGTGTGCGAGGAGATGGGAGCCTCTGAAACTGGAGAGGGTAAAAACAGTAAAAACAGTGCAGCGAGGCCAAAGAACCCAAAGTGACATTCTTAGCCACACTGATTTGGTGGATGAGATTGTGATCCTTCAGTAGCTCAGATCCTGAGCTAAGAACTCCCCTCTTGGGGCCACCCCCGCCCCRCAGCGCCTCTGGGCAGCCCTTTACCCCCGGGACAGGACGAGCCCGTTGTGAACAAACCCCCGAAGGCTGATCGGGACCCGCCCGGGGGGATGCGGGCCTTACCTGGCCCTGGCCGCGGCCAGGAGAGCGTTCAGGCCGCAGGAGGCCATGGCCGGCACCGGCACCACCGGCACCACCGGCACCACCGGCAC